AGATCAAGATTTAATTCACCGTCTGTATTACCTTGGGGCAATAACCGGGTGTATCTTGATTTCAATAGGTCATTCAAACGGCCATGGGTTATCTTTAACCTAACTGGTTAAAGCTGTTTGAGTCTATGACCTGTAGAACAATGTACCACCCGGAAGGGAGATGTTCTCTTCGACGAATTCACCCGAATGGGGCGTCGTCGGATGCCTGCTCTTGGTTAGAGCAGGCGGTTTAAAATATGTTGGCCTTTAGCCTTTTGATTAACTAAGTTAGGTACTTAGCCTTCTACTCATTTTGAGCAAACGGGTGCCCGGATGTGCATTGCACAGGTGGGACTTGAAAGATGCCCGGTTGTGCATTGCACATGGGACTTAGAAGTTGCCCAGTTGTGCATTGCACATAGGACTTTATACAAAAAACAATTGAAATAAAGTACTCTTTCATTAATATACTCTATTTACAAAATATTTACAAATCCTTCGAAGTAGTACTTTTTCAAGTTGCCTACATTCCAGAATCTGGCTAGCTGCCTGTCGTCTGGTGTTTCCGGGCGGTAGGTGCCGCCTCTAACTTTTTCAAAAATCCGGTAGGGGCCCTCCCAATTAGGGGTTATCTTCCCTTGCTCATTTGCCCTACCGGTTGCCTCCATTTTCCGTAGCACAAAGTCCCCCACTTTAAGGGGCCGTTTGTGTACTCTTTTGTTGTAGGCCCTCGTCATTCTCAGACGGTATATCTCATGACGCAAGGCGGCGTTGCCCCTGCGCTCCGGGAGTGAATCCAATGCTAGACGCATGGCCTCCCATTAGCCTCCTCATCCTAGAGCATGACTCGGAGTGTTGGCTCATAAAGTTCAGTTGGCAGGACGGTTTCAGTGTCGTATGTCATGAAAAACAGGGTTTCACCAGTTGCCCCTTTTTCAGTTGTTCTGATGGCCCAAAGGACGTGAGGTAACTCATCCGCCCAAAGACCGCCAGCTCTTTCAATCTTCTTTTTTATGCCATCTAAGATGAGCTTGTTGAAGGCTTCAACTTGACCGTTTGCTTGGGGGCGGCCAACGGATGCAAAGCAATGCGAGATCCCCTGATCTCCCAACCAACTCTTGAGGGTAGGTGTTTCAAACTGAGGACCGTTGTCAAAGACCATAGACATAGGAACCCCAAATCGAGTGATGATGTTTCTCCAAATGAAGAAGATGACATCCTTTGTCTTAATGCCCTTGACCGCCTCTGCCTCAACCCACTTGGTGAAGTAATCTACAGCCACTAGAATGTACCTCCGCCCGCCTATGGCAGGCGTATATGGACCTAAGATGTCCATGCCCCATTTTGCAAATGGAACCGGGTTGTAGATAGCCGTCAGGTCTGTTGCCGGACGACGTATGAGCCGGCCAAATCTTTGGCACTTGTCACACTTCTTCACTATTTCCATGGCGTCTTCCTCAAGAATAGGCCAAAAATAACCTTGCCGCCTGGCCCTTTTTGCTAGAGTTCTGCCGCCTATATGTGATGCACAAAAGCCCGAATGTAGATCCTCTAGAACCTCTTTGCCCCTTTCAGGGGTAACACACTTCAGCAACGGTTGGAGGTAACCCTTTCTGAAGAGCTCCCCCTTGTAGATATCCAAGCTTAAAGCTCGCTTTGTCAATGCTACCGCTTCTGAAGAGGCATCCGGCAAGGTGCCGTCTACTAAATAATCTCGGATGGGGTCCATCCAGGTAGAGCTCCGGTCAAGAACTCCAATGGGATCATGCTCAATACTTTGTTTTTCCATGACTTCCCAAAAGACTGACCTGGGCGTATCACAAGTGGCGGATGATGCCAGTTTGGACAATGCATCCGCCTGTTTGTTTTTTGACCGGGGCACCTGACTTAGATGGAATTCGTCAAGTGTCTCGGCCTCGCCTTTGACCGCCTGCAGATACTTGATCATTGCCGGATGGGTGGCCTCATAGTTACCATTGAATTGGCTAACAATCAATTGAGAATCTGAGCAGGCATCAACTTTCCTTGCCCCTGGCGCCTTACACATGCGTATACCGGCTAGCAGGGCCTCGTACTCCGCCTCATTATTGGAGGCCTGGAACTTGAACCGCAGTGCGTATTCATACTTTTCCCCTTCTGGAGATATGAAAATTACGCCTGCACAACAGTCGTTCATAGTAGAGCTCCCGTCTACATATAACTACCAAACCTGATCAACATTTTTCGGCTGTGCCGGTCTTGTCATTTCAATAATGAAGTCAGCGAACGCCTGACCCTTCACTGCCTTTCTAGGCTCGAAAGAAATTTTCAGGCTTTGCAATTCAATAGCCCACTTGAGCATTCTGCCGGATGACTCCAGGGTTGTCATTGGCCGCTTGAGGGGTTGGTCTGTGTAGACCACCACCGGGTGTGCCAAGAAGTATGGTTTTAGCTTCTTAACTGCCATGAAAAGAGCGAGGCCGAATTTTTCAACCAAGGGGTACCGCAGCTCAGCATTCCGGAGAATTTCAAAGCCCCCTTATCAGCCAGACGGTCCAATAGCCGCCTGAGGCTATAGTAACCATTGGTGTCGTGGCCGACATCCTCATGGAAGTGACAGTATTTGCTCTTGTCACGGTTCTTGATAGAACTCTTTGTTGCAGCTGGTTTTCAAGAGTTAACCGGTCTTTGATCTCCATGAGGATGGAGGAGCAATCCTTGTTGAATTCGTACTTAGGGACGTACAACTCCAACTTTCTCTGTTTCTTCTGGGACGGCTGACCAGAGTGATCTGCCGCCTTGACTTCTTTTCTTTTCTTGCCCTCTTCTTTTTTGGCCGGCTGGGCAGGCCGACTCTCTCTCTTATTGGACCGTCTAGGCTCCGACGAGTGCTTGACGGCACAGAGCTTCGTCGCCTGTATGTAGGCTTCGGCTTCCATCAGCGCCTCTTGGAGGGTGGCAATCCTTTTGGGGACCAGGTAGAACTTGAAAATCGACCCGTCCTTCAGACCCTTGAAGAAGTCTGTGTATGCAACTTTGTCAGACAGCCCCTGAATCTAAATTCTCATAAGATTGAACCGCCTGACATAGGACTGTAGTCCCTCCTTGTCTCCTGCTGAATAGCCCCTAAGTCGAGACTCGTCTTTTTGGCAGGGATGTTCATGGAGAAGTTTGAGGCGAACAGGTATGCAAGCGTCTTAAAGTTGTTGATGCACCCGGCTGGCAGGTTGCCAAACCATCGTTGAGCTATGCCCTTCAATGTGGCCGGGAAGCATCTGCACCAGGTAGCGTCTTCCAACCCCTGTAGGTACATGAGGTTGGTGTAATCCATTAGGTGGTCTTCCGGGTTGGTGGTACCGTCGTAGGTACCGACCAACACATTCTTAACCTTGGCCGGCTGAGCCGCCTCAGTTATTTCCCGGGAGAAAGCCGAAGGCTGTTCCCCAAGGTTGAGCAGCCGCAGCTGCCAGTCCATAGGCTGGACCTGCTGTGCCGCCGGACTCCCGAAGAGAGCCGGCTGCATGTATGGTGGTCCATACGACATGTATGGCTGTTGGGGCACATACGAAATCGGCTGGATGATATGAGGGCTAGTACATGCGGACATGCCGCGTGACTGACTCCCTTGATGTGTCTTTGAATGCTTCATTGAAGTATTGCGGAAACTGTCTGGGTAAGTCGACGTTGAGGCCGACTCAGACATGTGTTGACTTCTCTTCTCCTGGATGAACATCCGGGCGTCATAGTGTCTTTTTTTACCCATTCGGCTGAATTTGCCGGATGGCCTTCCTTTGCCCTAATTCAGGGAAACGAAGTTTGGAGAGGTCGATCAGGGGCCCATCCGCCCCCTTTGGTTTAGGGTGAGGAGTAGGCACCCGGTCTTTGAGTTGCTTCTTCCCGGAGGGAGAAGGCTTCTTTGCCGACTGACCCTTGTTTGAGCCAGTTGACTTTTTGATGATGTCCTTGATTTCCCCCTTGAAACTGGTCATGAATTTCACGAGCTCGTCTCTGGTGACGGGGACTGTGCCCTCTGCCGCCTGGGGTTGCCTAGCAGGCTTGCCGGCTGGGTTACTGGGACCAGCTTTGTCTTGGCCCTGTTCCCTTGTTTCTTTGGAACGGGTGCGCCTTGATCGAAGTGACCCGTCTGGGCCCACATAGGTGTCGACCTCATAGTCGTCACCACTATCCTGGTCCGTATGGACCTCATAGGTGGTACAGTGTCGGATGCCATCTCAGAAGTACTCTCCCCACAGACGGCGCCAAATGTTTCGGGGGTTTTTGGAGTCCCTCGGGAGAGTTACAATTTTGGGAATGCGCGCCTGACGTCTGTACCTGCAAAACCACGAAACTCCGGTTGGGGGGAGTTCTGCCTCCGACGATCAAGTTAGTATGTCTTCGGATGTAGAAAGTGCGGAAAGTAAATGGGTTTTTTCTCTCTGATTCAGAGAGATTCCGCAATTAATATTGCTCGATTTTGTGTTTGTATTTGTGTATATTTGTGAATGTGCAGTAAATGAGGAGTTTCCTCTATTAATAGCAGATGAAGATCTGCCCCGCCATTAGGGTTACAATGCCACGTGTCAACATCTGATTGGATCCCATTGGGCCTTTGAAGGGCTGCCACGTGTCAGCGCGGTATTGGGCCACATGGCATAGGGGTTTTTTTTTTACCCCAAACAACTTCATATGTAAATTATGTTACCTAATTTTTATTAAAATAAAATAATTACACTACAATATTTGTAACACCCTCAAATTACTCTTTAATAATAACAATTATAATACATGTTTAAGAGAGTAAATTAGGGGTATTATCGCCACGTGATTACGTACCTTTTTAAAAGAGAGACTTGCAACAGAAGAAATACATACTTTAACTTTCATTAATTAATTGATTAATTGATAATAGGTGTGAACCATAATCGAAATGATACTTATACTAGAATTCATGAAAGCACTACAACACATTATAGCTTTTATAGCACTTTTTTTTACAGCGGTTTTGCCATAACTGCTACTGTATTATATAGTCAAAAAGTGTTATATTATAGCGGTTTTAAGAAAAACGCTATTAAAAGTTAATTACAATAGTTCTCCAATAACCGCTATTAAAGCCTTCTGTTCTTTTCTGGAAACTAAACACCTCTTTTGTTCCTCAGCAAAACGTTCAAGTCCTATCACTCTCTTTAACAGTTGAAAAGCAAGCCCTAATTCCTCGAAACCTCAATTTGTCTTAACGCTTTTTCGGTTCATCTATTCTTATCATCATTTATATATCAAGGGGTTGAGTTTTTCTTTGAGCTTTTAAATTGAAATCAAACGGTTTTTAGAATTGAATTTCCAATTTTTACTATGTATTGATCTATATATAATTATTTCTTATAGAATTTATTTTGAGTTTGGCAGATCTAAATCTTCAAACCGAAGCTTATGGCATAAAAAAGGTATATAAATTATGCACATCGTATCTCAATTTTTTAGGGGTTATTAGGTTTTGGATTGGTGAGACAATTTCCAAAATTATCAGTCGAAATTATTGTAATTGGTTGCGAATGCTATACTTGATGGTTGGAATTTGCCATTATTGGTGGTGAATTCGGTGTTAAATTGGGGTTGCTGCATTTAAGATTGCTGAATTGAACTGCTGTTGTTTGGGCGTCGAAGGAGACGAGGTGCGGTTAGACTACCGGTGGCCGGCGCTAATTGGTGAGGAAAGAGCTGCGGTATGGCTGTCGTAAAACCCTTAATTCTCTTGAAATTTCCTAAATTATTTCAAATTTGATCAACAATTGCAAATTCTGGAGTCTAATCCTGTTAACTTGCAGATTTTTTATTATTATTATTATTGTTGTTGTTGTTGTTGTTGTTGTTGTTGTTGTTGTTGTTGTTGTTGTTGTTTTAATAGAGGATTATGCTGACAGTGATAATGCATGAGTTTTTTTTTATGATAATGCATGAATTTTACTATGATGATGCTAATGAAGAATAAGATGATCGCAATTCTTTGAATTTTTTGAAAATGCCAATAATGATGTTTAGCCGTACTGGTTCATTAATCAAGGTTTTTATTTATTTTTATTTTAAATTTTTGCTATTCATAATTTGGAGTTCTTTTCTAATTTATTACAGGGTTTTTTTTTCTTTTATTTGGAGATGTTTTTTTTTTTTTTCTTCTTCTTTCGTTTATTATAAATTATAGGTAAATATTTTCCTGATAAATTTTAATGTAGTTGATGAGTGTTGCCTGTATAATTATTGAAGTAAATTTTAGTGACCATTTTTTTATATCTTAGTGACTGTTTCGAAAGATCACTAAAATCATGTTCAAGTGTGAGTAGCTTCTTGGTACTCCTTGTGTTATTGTTATGTCCTATCTTTTGCCCTTACTGCTGAATTGTGGTCACTACGCATAAGTATATTAGCATCCTATTAATTTAAAGAAATCAAGAAAAGTTAATTGCTAATGGGTGATCCTTTTATAAGATAGTGTGTGCTCAATTTGTTATTTTTGTCGATTAATTTTTATTTTTCTATAACCATGATAAAACAACTTTAGTCAATTAGTGTTCTTTGTAGCACGACCGTGGAAAAAAAGAAAAAAAAAAAACCAAGTTTCCATAATCCATTAAGACATTCAGATTTATTACTTTATGTTTCAGTTTAGTGATACTAAGAAGTTTGTCCTAAGCGATTATGCTGCTACCCCCCCTTCCGCTATTTAACCCCTTCTTCTGCCCCCTGCTACCGCTCCCCTACTGCTACTGCCACCCTTTGGCTGCTCCCCCTCTTCTGTCATTAACCCATGCTGCTACCATCCTTCTGCTGCTCCCCCTCTTTTGTTATCCTCCCTAGGCTTACTTTTGCTGCTTCCCCTAGATGCCTAATATCTTCTAGTTGTGATATAAAAATGACTCTTACTCTAAGAAATGTTTTGAGGTAACTTCCAGCTTTGTTAATGTTACTCTTTACTTCCTAAATTTGAACAATGATAAATGAGTCCGATAGCATTAATGTTTGTTGAGACTTGACCCCTGTCCTCGAGTCATGAAGAACAACTCCTACCACATAGACAAAATTAACCAGGCTTGGTTTTAAAGATTATAAATTTGAAAAAAAATTGCATGTTTTAAGAGGGGGTTGAATTTGTAATTGATATGATCTATTACTGATGTTGATGAAATTTCCCATATTTGTTTAGCTGCTAACTCAAGATTAGCTCAAGACGGTGGTTAATAAGGTTAAAGATTTTTTCGGAGATACAAACGAATCCTTTGACAAGTTGACAACATTAAACACAACCTCAGATGATCGGGGGGGGGGGGGGGGGTAGAAGTTTCTACAAACTATCAAATCCAAGTGAGTGTAATCTGTTTGGGAAGTTAAGGGACTTTATATCTTCATGTGCATTTCTCTCCATGTTATTTGGACGATAGGTTGAAATCGATATATATATGTGATTTGCTTAATATCTAATCATAAAAAATTGAATTTACTTTGTTTTATGTTCATATTCTTATATCCTTATATTGTTATTATTTTGCAGTACTTTTCAGATTGCCAGCTCTCAAGTTACAATCAAATTCAGATTGGTGAAGTGAGAACTTAGTGGGTGCGCTATGTAGCTCTCAAGTTACGATTAAATTCAGATTGGTGAAGTAAGAACTTAGTGAGTGCGCTATGTAGTCCAGCAAATGTAGCTAGGTTGAAGGAATCAACAATTTATATGTTCGTTTTTGCATATTTGATTTAATTTCTTTTTTTTAAACACATTTTTTTCAGTAGTTAGTTTTATTACAACCTTGTAAAACGCTTTATTAGATCTTCAATATTAATACAAAATGTTGGGTTTCGTAGAGTCCGACTCTACGCGGAAGGGAAACCCACCCAAAACCCGCACACTAATTAAAGCGACTAAGCATGCAATCACTAATTAAACAACAATTAAGAGAGAGAGAAAGAAAAGACATTCTTACCCTTGGCGCGTGCTTCGCTCGAATCCCGAGCTCTTACTTGAACCCCGCAAATGCAAAGGTCTCCGACGGCTCGTATCCACGAACCCGACCCAAACGATCCAAGTCCCGAAGGTTAGTCGGGACCCGACTAATAAAAACTAGAGTTTTACGAACTTAAGGTTTTCTCACATTTTTAAGGAGATGTCTTTTTCGTTCCACTCAAGTGTTCTTCCCAAATTCCAAAACCTTGGTATTTATAGGGAAATGAACCTTGAATTCCCACTCTCAATCAATGTGGGAGATTTGCAATTTTCCCATTTTATTTTAATTAAAACAAAAATAAAATTGCAATGCAATCAATAAGTTACAAGTGGCACAAGGAGGAAGAGAGATTAGGTGAGGACCATTTCCAAGGGGGGGACCATAGCCTTAGTGCCCAAGGCAATTCCCACAAACCTTGGTCCCCACTTAGCAAACCGGCATCCTTCCATGTGGCTGGCTGGTAGCCTGCTTTGGCTGCCAAGGCTGCCAGCTGGCGCCTAGCACCAAGGCTAGGCAGCCAACCAGCACACACGCACACAGCGCAACCAGCCAACAAGCACCCCACACGCACAACCAGAGCATGCGTGCTGCTAACGAGCCACGCATGCTGGGCGCTGCTGCTATGCGAGGCATTGCGAGCAGCTTGCTGGGCACACGCTCAGCCCCGCACGCTGCTGGCTGGTGCGATGTGCTTGCGATATGCGATGCACAAGGCTGATACCATGTGATGCCTAGCATGCATGCTGTGCAGCGATGCTTGGGGCTGGTGCGTGCCATTGCCTAGCATCATGCATAGCGCACCACGCCTAGCATGCTGTTATGCGATGGTGCGTGGCTGCGAGCAATGCTAGGCCATGCCTTGCGCCAGCGCCTAGCATGCTAGAAAGGCCTAGCCTTGTGATGCTTGGGCGCATGACGTGCTAGCACACACGCAAGGCTGCGATGCTTGCGATGGCTAGCTAGCATGCATGAGCCTAGCACACCTAGCATGCTAGGCTTGTGATTAGCATTGCGATGGGTCTTGCCTAGCCTAGCACTCACATGGCTAGGCCAATGCGAGGCTACGGCTAGGCTCGAACTTGTAACTTGATTGATTTCACCTCTCATCGAATTCCAAACTCGACTCGACTTGCGACGCTCGGTCTCGACGCTCTAAGCTCAATATCCGACGTCTTTGTTCGTAATACTCTGACGACTCATCACATCCTTCGGATTGATTCTTCGTCTTGGATCGGTTGTTCGATTGGGTTCGACCCGAAGGGTTCAGTCAAGATTAAGCTGTAATATTAATTGTACATTAATATTAATGATCGGAAGCGGCCTCCACGTAGGCATTCCGATCACTTGACCTTACTGAAAAATTAGCTATCCAATAATTCTAAACCCTATATCGGAATAATACACTTGTTGGAAGGACACCATTCCTTTCACAAAATTATCGTTGTTTTATATACTATTTATTGTACAATTTTTGATGTTTTATGAAACATGAATTAGATTGTATTAAAGAAAATATATATTATAGGGAAAAAATGGCTATTAATGGTGAAAAATATTCAAAAAAAAAATTAATTTTAATAGCGGTTTTAAAATATCGCTTTTAAATGTAATTTTGAAATTTGGCGACAATACAATTAATAGCACAACTTTTACAGCGGTTTTAATGTGCTGTAAAAGGAATTTTCGCGGAATTCCAGAACTACATCTTACAGCGGTTATATTAACCACTGTAAAAGCCAATATGGGCTTTTATAGCGTAGCGATTAATAGTGGTTGAAAAACCGCTATAAAAAGCTTTTTTAACTGCTGTAAAAAGGCAATTATGGTGTAGAGAAGTGAACCTAAACTAGGTGATTTTACCCTTCGTCCTCGATGCAACATTTAGATCATGCTGAGTCATCTTGATCTTTGCACATAAACACAAAACTTCTAATTACGAAATTGGAATTCCTCCTACAATAACCAATAACTCTTATTCTAGAACTCTTCACAATAAACCCAAAGACATAAAATACCGACTCTAAGTTAGTTGTGCATGAACAATATAACATTTTAACCCTTTTAATATTTGATTTTATAAACTAGTCTTTAATAATCCGTTAAACATAATAATAATAAGGAAAATTTGCCAATTACAGCCATTTAAAGTTTGTATTTTATAAATTGCAGTCACTTAAAAAATAAATTGCAAATTGCAACCCAAAAGTACTAATAAATTGTAAATTGCTACCCAATTCAATTTTTTCATCGATTTGCGTGCCAAAAAATGTCCCGTTAAGGTTTTATGGGTCATTTTAGCTTTTAAGGGCCCAAATTGAGCTCGAAATTTGCAAAAAAATAGCGTAAGTGCCTCGTTTTGTGTTTAAAAAATGTATCAATTTGTGTGCAACTATTTTTTGCTGTGAAAATGAGACCCTTACATTAATTTTTTGCCAATTCTGAGCTCATTTTGGATCCTTAAAGGCTAAAATGGCCCCTAAAACCTTAACAGAACATTTTTCGACACGTAAATCGATGAAATAATTGAATTAGGTTGCAATTTACAATATATTAGTACTTTTGGACTGCAATTTGCAATTTTTTTAAAATGGCTGCAATTCGCAGAATGCAAATTATAAATGGCTACAATTGGCAAATTTTCCTAATAATAATAATAATAATAATAGTAATAGTAACAAAGATAGTAGTAGTAATAGTAATAGTAATACTATACTAATATAGTATTCGTAATACTAATAGTAATAACTATACTAATAATAATAGTATTAATAATAGTAATAATAATAATCATCAATAACTATATACTAAAATAGACACCAGCAATGACACGTGTCATCTCCTTGTGTGTCCTTAGTTCGTTGTTTTTTTTTGTGAAAAAAAATTCTATTTAAGAAACAAAACTTTTTTCATATATAAAATAATAATTACATACAAAGTATAATAGAAGATTTGATGTATCGTTCCAAAATAAAACATATTGACAATTATAAACTTAAGCAAAAAAGTAACAAATAATATTCATTCTTAACATAATTTGTTATGGACTATTTTTCTAGGAAAGACATATTATGTTCTACATATGTTTATTACAACAAGATTATGTAATTTTTTTCTTGGTTTTTTTTTTACAAAATTATCTAATAGAAGGTACAAGCTTAAACAATGAAATGCTTATATCAAATCAACAAATGATACTTTTGTTATTTTCTTGGATAATTTATGATTAGAATTTCAATCAATTAGTACTCTATGGATACTTCAATAAAACTTGTCAAACGACACCTGTTGATTATTTTTAGTGTGAGCTTCTCCCGCCATTTTTTTGTAGTTTTCAGCATTCAATTGATTTGAATATAACATAGGAAAGTAAAAACCTTTAATATAGTGTTAATTTTAAAAATAAATATTGAAAATAGTTTCTCCTCAAATACAACACCGTCTACATTGACTTTCATCATACTAATCGCAGGTGGACACCACCTCAATTCATCTCTGCGTTTTTTTGTATTCTTTCAGGGAGAGCGTTTTCAGTCCTCACCTCCCTGAATGCCTGTAGTAAGCTAGTAGCAGCAGCTATAACTTCATCCAGATCTTTGGGTAAGGCACCATTACCAATGGCATTTCTCTCATTCCAAGCTTCATACGCTATCGTCAAGACTTCATTCCTTTTTCTTTCACCCAAATTTCATATAACCCAACCAACCAAATCAGCAAATTTCGGACAATAGGCCATCAAACCCACTGAATCCTACACACTAGTCATTAAGTAATAGTCCTAAACCGCATGAAGTACGGATTCCACAAGCCTGCTGCACCTTCTGCAAAGTGGACATATACTTTCTACTCTCCTGTTTAGGTCTTTGCATATATATGATTCAAATGTAAAAGAAATATAAAGAATAACAAGAATATTAATAATTCAAAGGATAAAACACTTTTTCATTACCTTTGTTTTTCAAGTACGAGACCAAAACAAACCACCAAGGCATAAAGTTCAAACGATATCTCCACCTAGTTTTCAAAAGTGAATGCCATTAGCAAAATGAGGCAATCAACCTTAATAAACCTACAATACAATGTTTTCCTTGGACACTTAAAGAAAGTGCAATTATCAAAATGATGCATTCTTGAAAAAGATAAGTTTCATTCACCCACAATAGCACAAACACCTAACGCTTGCCGAGTTTAGGTAAAGCACAAACAATAGCTCTAGCACTTCCAGGCGACTCTTCTTTGTCGTTAATTGTTATCAGTTAACAACTTGAAAGAGAAGCACATCGTTATATTAAGCAGTGAAGAATTCGTTTTATCTACAAGTACTATAATGAAAAAGGTAGAAAAAATGCGTAGACATGTTAATGATATATAAATGATTTTTTACAACTAATATGTCCCTCGAATACAGAACTTTATGTTAACATAAATAAGTATTTGGAAAAATAAGAGCAATAAATATACTTTATACAATCATCTTCAACAAAAACCACAACTATAACTTAAGTGTGTTTAGAAGAAATGACAAAAATACCAACAAAATTTAAAAAACAGGGAATGTATCTAACATTTATTTATTTATAGTTACACGTGGGATTTATAAAAGAAACCAACACTTAGAAATTTACAGTAGGACTTGTAATTTCATATATATATAAAATAAAATTAGAGTTTTCGTATTAATAGAACAAAATTAACTAGGATAGTTTAGAATACAAGATCAAATTTTAGTCTTTTTGTGGCTTTATCATAATTTGATCAGTTATGCCTATT